GGGAGAGATCTATCCTCCTCTCAAATTGAGGATCAATTGTATCTTGTTTGTTTTTCTTCCGTTAGTTAATTTCTTACAATAAAATATACTGTTTTCCTTGGATTTTGGAAGAAATTCTCACTATTTTATGAAGATGGATAGGAAATACTTGAGATCTACACTGAAATACTTGAGATCTACAAGTGTTTCCTATCCCCTTCAAGGTCTATTATAAAAAAGGTTCATTGCTAAAAGCGTAAAACTCTTTATTCTCAATATCCGTATGATAATTCACAACATCGGTAATTGAATCCAATCCTATGTCAATCAACTGTCAAAGTTGACACGGTTCAAATGACAAATACATGGTCTATTTTAGATCCTCGATGATGATCGTTCTGATTGAAAATTTCAACCAAAGGGGATCCTAAACTTTTTAATTGCCTTCTAAATCCTATAAAATACAAGCATCTAAATTGACTTTAATGTCACCCCGATAATGATCCTATTGAATATAAATCTCAACCGAAGGGGTTAATTCTCAAAGACCTAATAAAGATCTAGAGCTCCACATCTATTAATAATATTAATATTTAAACTTGAAATCAATCATCAAATACTTATAGAAAAAATTTATCCACTCTGCAACCGTTTATCGAGGTGGATAAAATTAAAAATCACTTTAGCTCACAAAAAGTGAATGTCTGGTCGAGAATATCACTAGAATTCATTCTCAAATCATCTTTTGCTAGTAAGGACATGGTACGTGTCCTCTAACTTATGGTTTCATCTCCAAATGGCACCACAGATAAACGATTATGATCATGGTCATGAGTCATCTGACCGGACGATTTTGCTGCCAAATGGTACCACTAAATTACTATCATAGCCAATGCTTGTATGTTCCCCAATGGCTCTAAATTATTGAGTGATGAATTAATATGGTATAATTGATAGGGCACAAATCCCTTTATTAGCTAATGTAGACTCAAATCTATCATCTTAGGCAAACATTCACCCCAAGTCTATAAGATACCCTCCGACGAAGCAACCCATGACTGCCGACAATAATCTTTCGGTTAGTTTTGGTCGACTACCTCCTCTGACTAAATAGACTAGGGACTATGATGGCCCGGGATGACGGAACCATGGGATCTTGATTGGGTTCATCATCATTCGTTCACTATCTGCTTTAAGTGCATGGTAATATAAATTTCAATTTTTAATATCTAATTATATTGCTACTATACGTTGGATGCTATGTATCTCTTCGGCGACTAACTGATGTAGAACGGGTAGGAGATTACTAGGGAGAGGATCTCCTCTCCAAAATTTGAAGGAAATTATGATTTCTTTGCTCAGAACCTGAGAAGAATCTCAGATTTTCTCTTGAGAAAAACAGGAATTGCTGGACAGCAATTTGCTGTGGTAGAAAAACAACAACTAATAGGCTTCTTATTGCTGGAGAAGTGAGAGCAGGGGTGGGAAAACCTGGGCTGCAGTATTAGAAGGTAGAAAGTTCCATGTGGGAGGAGTAGGCGGTGGAGACCAGAGAAATTCAAATGTCAGCCTGCTCTTGAAGAGGAAGCACACTCCAACCCCTGTTAATGAAATCTGGAAATAACTTCAGCTAATTTTGTTTCCAAAAGCTGCTTGGAAAATTCGGATACCTAGGCTTAGGAATTAATGACTTGGGGGATCTTTAAGGCTCCAAATCAATTCCTGTAATAGCATAGGAAGGAGTGGGGAGTTATCCGTGGAGGGAAAATGATGGCATACCTAATTAATGGGTTTAATTAGGAATGAATAGATAACGTCAGGAGGACTAATCTGAATTCTAATGGGAATTGATTTAGGGATTCGAATGGAAATCATACATGGAAGGAAATAAAGAGGAGGGAGACGGGTGGGAGAGGAGCTCACGGGATTGAGAGGGAGTGAATGCTTTAGAAAAATTGATTCCAGCAAGGAGCCACGGGCTGTTATTTCCTAATTCTCATCTCTAGTATTAGTAAATAAAATTAGAGACTAGGTGTGAAGGAAGATATGGAATTGTTTCCACAAGATAGGGTGGGTTTTAGGAAATAATTCCAAAAACAATCAGGTGGGAGTCGTGTCATTAAGGGACATGGGAGGGATTTAATGAAAGCATTTAAGGCTTCAAGATTTGAATTTAGGAGTTATGAAATTAGATTTTGAATTTAAATTTCAAAATGATTTCAATTACGCACTTTTCAAAAATAGATGAACTAAATTAGGAAAGAATTTGAAATTTAAATTTGAATAATTTCAAATTCAAATTAATCCCTAAATTAACCCAACCAAATTAGGAAATCCAAAAGGGGGTGGAGAGGAAGGTTCGACCGGCGGCTAATGGGGTGGAGCCGGCGGCATGGGTTCGGGTATGGGGGGATTTCGGGTGGAGGTGAAAATCCAGCGGCTAAACGGAGATGGGGAGGAGGAAGAAGATGACAAGATGAATACGACTACGGGGAGCAGTAAAAGAAACAAAACAAAAAACAAAGATAAAATGAAAGATAGAAGACAAGAACCGCGAGCCTCGGACTCTTCCGACGACTGACGGGTGATGCTTTGCCCTTCTCCAAGGGACTTCAATTCACAAGCCCTGACCCATCTTGCGGCTGGTGAAGACTCTGATTCCTCTCCATAGGAATCTCACTAATGCTCTCTCACAAAGAACAAAAGTGTGGACACAAAATTTTTTTAAATCAATTCTTCATTCCTTTTACAATAGCTTAAGGCACTATATATAGGCCACAACATGAGAAAAATCAAAATTACAAAATTGCCCCTTGGGCCACAACACTCAAATAAACTAACCTAGGGGTAAAACAGGAAATAACATAAAATAAAAGCTAAAATTCATAAAATAACTCATAAATGACAATTTAAATTAGAGCCGTCGATTTACGACGCCTCCTGTGATAGATGTGCCAAATCTTCATGCCGATGTCCGCATCACTAACCTTAATCGAAAGTTCTCTCTTGTTATCGGGAACTATAAGGGCTTGTGCCTATTAGAAACTTGAACTTAGATCATAAAGTCATCGCAAAATGATGGCGAAATCATTGGGTAATGTTTTATCTAAAACTGAATTTGCCTTCTAAAAATTTATCTCGGAATCTAAACTCATTAAAACTTTCCTCATCGCTGACACTTAAAAAAGAAAGGGGTGGCGGAGAGGCCGGGGAGCTAATTTTTGGGGCGCACTACGAGCTCCTCTATGCGAATACTTGCTTGTCTATTGCCTAATTCTAGTGACTAACCTTCAGGGAAAGGCATGCTTTGGGCAAGCATTCCTCCTAGTCACGTCCCTCCCTTGGGTATGAACCTGTTTGGTTATATGTGAGTTGCCTAGATGGGCATATGTGGGCATACAACAACCGCTCAAGATGTCTTCATATTTGGAAACAAATATTACCACTCTAAATTAAAGTATTGAAATAAATATTTGATTGCTTTTCTTAAATCTTTAATTTGTACTGATTGATATACTTCCAAAATAGTTTTTTACTTTTTCAAGTTTAAAATATTTTCCTATTTCGGTTGGGTTACATCAAGGATCAGCCTTAAGCCCGTATCTTTTTGCTTTAGTCATGGATGTTCTCACTAGACATTTGCAAGAGGATGTACGTTGGTGTATGTTTTTTTGCTGATGATATTCTTCTTGTTGATAAGACTAGAGAGGGAGTTGAAAGTAAACTTGAATTATGGAGGGTTAACATTAGAGACTAAAGTTTTTCGCTTGAGTAGATCAAAAATGGAATATATGGAGTGTAATTTTAGTAGTAATAGACCTAGTGAGGGGATTGTGTCTTTGGGCGATCAAGTCATTAATAAGAGTACACGTTTTAGAGATCTTGGATCTATTGTTCAGAGTGGATGGTGAAATAGATGGGGATATTATCAGCAGAATTCAAGTTGGATGGTTGAAGTGGAGGAATGCATCGGGCTTTGTTTGTGTGATAAAAAAGTACACCTCAAACTTAAGGGAAAATTCTATAAGATGGTAGTGAGGCCTGCAATGCTTATGGTGCTGATGTTGGCCATTAAAGAGCAAGCATATAATTAAGTTAATGTGCAGAGATGAGGATGCCTCAGGTGGATGAGTGGCTTTACCCTTAGAGAAGTATAGAAATGAGCATATACGTGAAAAGGTTGGAGTAGTTCCAGTAGAAGATAAGATTAGAGAGAGTCGCCTTAGATGTTGGTCACGATAAAAACGGCGCCTTCAATGACCCCCGTTTAAGTAGAGTAGAGGTATTAGATTTGACTTATGTTAATAGAAGGTAGAGAGACCTAAAAAAACCTGGTTAAGAAATATTTAGGATGACCTTTCTTTATTAGATTTAAACGAGAATTTGACCTTTAATAGGACACAATGGATAAAAAGGATTCATATAGCCGACCCCACGTAGTGGGATAAAGGCTTGACGTTGTTGTTGTTGTTGTAAGTTTAAAATATTTCCTCCAAATCGCACTTAGTTGCCTCCCTTTTATCTTTAAGAAAATAAAGCAAAATAAAAGTAATATACTGTTGATTGTCATGATATAAGTTTTTGAATATGATCTAGTGAGAGATCTCTTTACTTGTTCTTCATCAATAAGTTTGGATGAATGCATAGACAAACAAATTGATGGACAAGAGATTGCTGTTGTGTTGTCTCAAGTGCCTATCTTGTCCTGTGTTTATGTATTACATAATTTTCTATGTACAATGAACATGCACCCATGTGTTTATTCATGTGTGACACTAAATGGCACACCTTACCTTGTAGAATCGTATGAAACGGCTAAGACTAATTATTATGTAAAATTAAAGAGCTGAGAAAGATGGAAATAATCACCGTGGAATGATTCTTATTGTTTTAGAGGAAGCATTGTGCATTTAACATTACTGTGCTGCAAGTTCTATCAAGCCTCATCAACCAACTTTCTGGGTGATATTTTTGACTGAGGCTTATTCTTCTTGACATTTTAATGCTTGAATGTTTGGCAGGAATATAAAAGGAATGCCTTCCTAGAGGCAGATTTGCATTGTTCAAGAATGATAAAAACCATGGAGGAAAAGTTACGAGCTGCTTGCCATGTTCCGAATGCACAAGTTGATGTTGTTTTTGCGGTAAGCGTTTTTTTGCAAATAATATTTTGTTGGATGTTTCTGCACTGTTTTTTGTTGCAGCTTTTTTTTCCTAATGTTATAGAACTGTTATATGTAAATGTGCAAGCATTACTGATTCATTGGATATCTTGTGCTTTATCTGACATTGAATATGATAAAACATAAATGATAATGATATTTCTCTTCAGGTTTTGGATGGTTTAGTTAATGACTACGAGTCCTCTACTCATGGTACTGGAAAATTGGAAATGTTGGTTTCATTTATACTGAAGAGGTATGCCCCACACTTTTGCATTCTAAGCTAGAATGTTAAGATGGCATGTCATTCCTTAGGCTTCGTTTTGGACGGCTTTCTTATTGCTTCTTAAAGCAGCTTTCTAATAAAAATTTTAAATTTTTATACTAAAAAGTTGTATTAAGAAGCATTAAGAAAGCCATCCCAAACGAAGCCTTAGTCATCATAGTGGCAAGAACTCCTAGTTTGAGCTCTTTATCAACCATATAAGTCATTAGAAATTTGATTTTCTTGGAAGTTATGATCAAAATGGTAGGCTTCCACCTATACCAAGTAATCTTTACTTGAGCTTGGCATGTTGTACATAAAATTCCATGATAAAATAATTTGCATTTTCCAATTCTAATTTATTTGGTTACCTTTTGAAATCCAAACTTTTTTTCCTTGCTTAAACAGTTTAAAGGGGCAAATATTGGACCTACACAATAAGCAGTTATATGAAATTAAATCAGAAATGACTGCCCTCAAATTAAGATGCAGTTCAAGTGATGACAAATTGGAACTGCTAAAGAAGCAACTGGAGGCAAATGAGAAACACAGAGCTGACTATTTGAAGCGTTATGAGGATGCTGTTAATGATAAGAAAAGATTTGCTGATGATTACTCTGTTAATATTGCAAATTGGAGGGGTAAATGCAGCACATTGGAGGAGCGTTGTTCGAGTATAACGAAATCCTTGGAACTTGCAAAGAGTGAATCTGCTGGGTGGAAAACTAAATATGAGCATATTTTGTCAGAGCAAAAGGCAGTGGAAGAGAAGTTGAAATTTCAAACTTCCGCTTTGGAGTCCAGGAACAGTGCAGTTGAAGGAAGATTAGCTGCTTTAAGAGAACAGTCAAATGCTGCCCAGGAAGAGGCAAAAGAGTGGAAGCGCAAATATGAATTTTCCCTTGGAGAGGCTAAAACTGCTCGTGCAAGAACAGCTCTAACATTGGAGCAGTCCAGTAAAAAGGCACAGCAGAGGGAAGATGCTTTGAGAACTGAATTATCTGGCAGAATAGCTGAGAAGGTAAAATATATTACTAGTTTATATATATTTTTTCATCTGCCATATGTAAAATGCATTTTTTTATAGGATGAAGAAATTAGGAAGCTGACTGCAAAGATAGACCATACTGAGTTGCATGCAAGAAGTTTAATTTCACAATTGGAGGTACATGTGACATAGTTTTATTGTTAGGCCTTGTCAATGGTGTCTTAATAGTGAGGCAAATAATCTCCAGGTTGCAGAGTCCAGGGTGAAGAGCCACGAGTTGGAAAATTCAGCGTTGAAGGAGGAAATTAATGATCTAATTGATAGATTGGATTCCTTCAAAGCCAGCTCCCAATCACACGAGAAAGAACTCAAAATTCTAGAGCAAGAAAAGAATCACCTTCAGGAAAAATACCTATCCGAATGCAAGAAGTCTGACGCAGCCGAAAATAGGTGCAATAATGCAGAGAGTGAAGCCAAGAAAGCGATAGAAGTTGCTGACATTGCTCGATTGGAGGCAGCTGCAGCTCAGAAAGAAAAGAGCGAGGCTCAACGCTTGGCCATGGAACGACTTACACTAATCGAACGATCTCAGAGACAGATTGAAGGCTTGGAGAGAGAGAGATCTAAGCTAATGGAAGATGTTAAGAGACTGCATTCTTCTGAAATTGAAGCTATATTGAAAGCAGATCAGCTGGAGACAAGACTGCAAGAGAGGGATAAAGAACTGGAGGAGCTGCTTAGTAAGAACAATGAGCAGAGGTCCACCACCGTGCAAGTTCTGGAGTCTCTCTTGGCTACGGAGCGTGCCGCGCTTGCCGAGGCCAACAACAGAGCAGAGGCTCTCTCAGTTCAGCTGCAGGCCACTCAGAGCAAGCTTGATTTGCTGCAGCAGGAGCTTACTTCGATTCGACTCAATGAGACCGCTCATGATAGTAAGCTCAGGACTGGGCAGGGGAAGCGATCGAGGATAGAATACCACCAACCAGTTACTGAATCAGTGCATGATATGGAGCTTGATGGAGAGATCCATGGAAATGAGAAGAAGCGTTCGAAGAGCACCACGAGCCCTTTGAAACTGAACCAGACAGAAGATGGTGGATCTGTTTATAAAGCCGGTGATCAAGAAACAGATTCAGAGGATTATACGAAGTTCACTGTGATCAAGTTGAAACAGGAGCTTACAAAGCATGGCTATGGTGCTGAGCTGCTCCAGCTGAAGAATCCTAATAAGAAGGATATCCTCGCTTTGTACTCGAAGAATGTTCTTAAGAAATAGCTTCTTGTTTGATGGTCCTGTTATTTTTCCCTGTTTTTTAACGTAGGATCTATAGTGTTGATTTTGCAAATTTAGACAAAAACCATGTTGTTTGGGTGGTGGTTATTTCTTTTAACCATCCTCAATTATTATCAAAGGTTTTTTTTTTATTATTATTTTAATATAAATTTTAACTGATCAAGCATGTATTGCATCAATATTAATATAAATCTAATGTTACAAAATTAATTATAATTAAAATTTACTGTTATTATAAATAATCAATTTTAAGAATTTATATAATGCTTTATCGGTAGATAATATGTTCAACTGTTTGAGCAAAATTTTACAATTTTAGAGTTTCACCAGATTATTATGGATTGTTAAAAATACTATTTTGAAGCTTGTGCTAAAACATTGTTTTTTAGGATCATAATTATTTTCTAATTGGTTTAAATTAATGCACTTTTTAATTTATTCGGTGAACACTTTCTAGAAAATATACCTAAATGACAAAACAGTCATATTTAAAATATACAAAAGTTACATATGTTTCATGTGTGGAATTATCCTTGTTTTAGGCTACAAAATTTTAAATTAAATTAAAAAGATTTATAAATTTCTATATTTTTTTTTTTCAAATTGAGATTGATAAAATGTAATATATCTTGATCCAGGCAAATTATAAAACTAGGTTGATAATAAAAAATGGATGGGGTCACCAAAACCTAGCGCTCTCTCACTCTCTAACTAGATACCTAAGGGGGTCTTAATTTTTTTTGATAAAACAAAAAAGAGTGAAAATTGATATTTTTATTATAATTTTACTTAAAACCACGGGGTTACAAGTAGCAGCACCGTTGCACTAGTCTAAGGTTTCGTTTGGGATGGCTTTTTTATTGCTTTCTAAAACGGAGTTTTAGTACAAAAATAAAAAATTTTGTACTAAAACTCTGTTTTAGAAAGCAGTAAAAAAGCTGTCCCAAACGAAGCCTTATTAGAAAATCTAATTGCTCAATGTTGGAGCGTCGCCACCTTGTTATTGTATCACTCATAAGAGAAAAAATTCAAATTTTCCATTCATGCACACCGATCCCCCGGACCGGCTTCAGAATAGATTCTGACATTCATATGTAGTGGCAAAGTCAGAAAATTCTTTTAGTGGGGGCCTAAATTTATTATGACAAAACTTTTCTTAATTTTTTCATATGGGCTTGAGACCGACATTGACAATTTTAAAAATTTTAATTTACTATTTAAATAAATAAAATATTAAATATAAGATAATAAAACTTACTGTTTATAATATGTGCCCTTCATATGCTGAAAAAGTTTAATGACTACTTCATTATCAATATAATCTAATATTTCTTTCTCAATATTAATGAGTAATATATCATTCAAAATTTGATTTCCAATTCTATTTTGCAGCTGATTTTTAATAATATTTGTGGCAGCACAGTGATGTTGTTATGATTAATACTAATGCCAACATTAATAGTTTGAAAATAAGAGGATATAAGATATCCTTCATACTTTTGATCATTTTCTTCACAAGATTTCCTATATCTTTTAATGAAAAAAATTATTTATCAAATCACATATCTATAATATATGCGTTAAACTAATCTTCAAGAATTGTCTGACTAAAAGAAATAAAATAAGTTTGATAAAACTATCATTCTAATCAACTTGTCTTTATTGAATACATAAAATACATTATTAGGATTCAAACAAACAATATATAAAAGTAAATCAATTATTCAGCACTTGAAGTTGCATATCAATGACTGTAGACAATTTTAAACAAAAATTATATAAATTTGTTAGGTTTTGAGCTCTATGACAAGGACGTCTACGAGCAATGCATTTATTTTCCATATGTAGAACATTTTTTTTTGCTACTCACAAAATTTGGATAATGAAGTCTGATCACTTATTATCTTTCATATATTGTAATCTCATTTAAGATATATGAATCAAAGACATAGAATTTATAATATATTGTTCTCTTTGTTACAAAGTTTGTGATAGTTTAATTGTGATACTAAGTATATCTTTCATCAAATGTAGACAATTTTTTTTTTTTTTCAAAAGTTAGTAATGATTCTCATAATGCATATGCTTCACCTCATTATTCTGAGCTTACACCATCCTCCAAAATAATTTCTGGAATATTAATTTTTGAAGAGAACATTGTAATCAACCTTATAATTAATTCATAATGCGAACCCCATCTTGTATCGCCTGCACGATTAAGAGTTATTTACTTATTTCTTGATTCAACCCTTGTCCTTTTATTAGTTCTCCACTCTATATTTTCTCTCATTGTATATCTTGAAGCTAGTCACAATGCTTACATGAAACATCAATAATATTCATCACAATTGAAATTATAATAAATAAAAAATTAATTATAACATAAATTTTCCCAACTAATGCCATTATTGACTCAAGTTGATGTGAGAAGGAAGGAATGTAATGTGTTAATTTATTTTCATTAAGAAATAGTGCATTTAAAAGGTTTCAATCTCCTATGAGTTAGTCTTTACTTATCTATGTATGAAAATTTTTTATTTAATAGTAAACGATTAGAACTATATCTTTCACCACAGATAATCTGACACACAACAATAAAAATAATTTTTTTTCAATATTTTTTGTTAGAGTTGGACAGTGAATTATTAATTTAAAGTATATCTGCTTATATATTTTTAAATAAATTTAATTATATCTTAATTAAAAGTAAAATATTCAATATATAAAATTATGAAGTCCAATGTAGGTACATTATCTAATGTCTTCAAAACGAAAATGCACATAATACAATATATCTATATACTTTTAAACCCTATCAGTGATTATTCTGCGTGGATATCGAACGCAATTCACCGTTGGAGACCAATCAGAATGCGCTGTACCAAGCTCAGTACCGAATGATACTGAAGTGAGGTACCGAACAATACTTAGCCAGTTATCGAGCAAGTGTGACATGACTCATTCTGATTGATCTTCAAATGATGTTTGAATTCGGTACAAAATAATTTCACCCTATTTATAATTTAAATTCAAGTGAACAATAAAATTTAAGAAAAGGGTTATGTTAATCTCCCTTTCTATCTTTGAGCGGCAATTAAACCCATACCCGTATTCTGTGTTTTCTATCGGAATCCTGTTCTTTTTTCTGTGCAAACGCCTACCGCATTCTTTCAGAGGCGTCTTTCTCTGCTATCCGTCGAGAGAGATCGAGGGAGGAACCGCCGGCGGCGGTTTACAGCGGTAGAGGTAAGGCTCCTAGTTATTTACTTCGTTCCAGCGTCTATTTTCAAATGATCCAAGGCTCGTCGGAATGGATATCGTTGATCTGCCAATCCAAGTATTCTACATGGATTTTCTTTTGGAAATTGTCATTCTTTCTTGCTCTTACTTGTCTCACATTCTTTTTCCCTTTTTAAAATTCATATTGGGAATTGAAAACCTAGACTCTGGTCAATCGTTTTGTCGGGCAAGGTGTGAAATTTGAAGCAGTTGCCACTTGTTCAAGAGATAAATGGCAAAGCCAGCAGGATCAATGTTGGCTAGCCTTAAAAAATTTGCGTTTTTTTTTCTGACTGGGTTTGCTTTGTAAGCTAGTGCACTATTGGTACTGATGCAATGATTTTTTATTTTTGCTATGAGGTAGAGAGGTGGAGGTGACAAATTGACAGAATCATAAAGGATATCTATGGCAGCATCAAAGCTTCAAGCTCTTTGGAACCATCCAGCTGGCCCTAAAACTAGTAAGTTTGCATCATCATCATTATCTTTATTTATGTATCCTCGTTTTCTATTAACTCTTGTGGAGTTCTCGTCAACAGTTTAGGAAAACCGTTGAGATGCACTAAACTTGCTGAGATTTAGCTTGATGGGAATGGTTAGGTGATCTAATTTGCAAACATCGGGCTTGTGACAAGCCCAAAGGTTGCCCTGCAAAGTGGCTTGCCATTTTGGCAACTCAATCTTCACAAATTTATCTTTTATTTTTCCGCACCAAAGAAGTTGTTTTCAATTCCCATGAAAGTTAAAATATAATTATGGAGATTTGAAGAACTATAGATATTGTTTTCTAGTTAACTCCCTTTTGCTTCAATTGAGACTCACTCCAATATTTTAAAAATATGAAAATATTTAGAATGAAAATATGTTTGACAAAACATGTAGTCAACCCCACGAATTGGGATAAATGATTGTTGTTGTTGTATATGTTAAACTGTTCAAAATCAACACCATTGAAGATGATCTACCCTAACGGGTAACGACACAACTAAATTCTTTGTTTTAGGTTATCTTAATTGCCAAAAGAAGTATTAGTGTACCCAAAACCCGTTGTTTTCTATTTTTTTATTTTTATTTATGTTGTAGCTCCCACAATACATATATTTGGCAGGTCAAAATATGTTTAGGATAGCATGCTACATTGCAATTAATTTGTAATTTTTATTGATTCTACTTTATATTCATCCAACTGTGTTAGGGAGATTGAATATTTTCAAGTAGAGGGCATGTTCTTTAGAGCAATTCCTTTTTTCTAGAAAGGTTAGCCAAAAATTGGAAAATGAAGCAATGCATCACAAACACATGGTCATTATCATCATCATCAAAGCTCTACGTCAAAATATAATATTATTATTGTCATCATTTTGCCAAATTTCAAGGCAAGAAAGATAAATCATGCCATGGCTGATCCATTCATTTGCTAAATTCGCCATGTCCTCTAATTTCAATATCACTCCACCTTCCATTTAAGGTTTGAATCCCATACTAAATTAAATCAAGGAAAAAAAATAGAGGAAAAGAAACTCAAAACTCCCTCTGAAACTGCTGTTCGGTTACTCATATTGACTCAAAGATTTGATTGCAATTGGAATTGATTTCTTTCCTTTTATAGACTGGCCGAAATTGTTATGAAGGAATTGATGTATTTGACTTTGTTTTATATATAGCCAACAAATGTACTCTCTTTTGATCAATCATTAAATGAATTAACAAGATTTTCTTATTGTGAATTGATGTGGAGAAGCTTGTTGGTTAATCCCCAATTTTGTTGAGGCTTTGTGTCTAATAGAAATCCATGAATTTTGCTCAGTTCAATATTTTAGCACTTTGTGCTTTTACTTTATCTTCATTTTTGTATTTTGGTTTTAAACCCTCTTGAATGCTTGCCGCCTCTTACACTCCCTCTATAACTTTAAAATAATCTCACAACCTTCCAAGGCCATCTATCCTCCCCATTTCCCATTCCCCACACTAAAACCCTAACATAAGCCCTTTCGGGTTTCACCTTCCCAATCAACATTCAATTCAATTTTAACAATCCTTCACATATCTTTTATGCAATCCTATTACCACCCTCTCCACTATAGGCTTAATCCTCCACAAGTCATATCCAAGCCTTAATTTATCCCTTACCCTTGCCAAAATAATCTTCCCTTCAAGGTAGCTCTCGGGACTTTCCTTAATCCCTTAAACTTTACCGCTATTACACTCCAAACCCTTCTTGTTCTTGCTATTAGTCTCAAGGATATAATGAGCTCCTTCTCTACATGTATGAATAGTGGGCCTGACCCTCCTAATATACTAGCTCATTACATTTTTTTTATTATTGAAGACATCAATGGCCATGTTTTAAGTATCATTGCTTTGGTGGACATGAGATTTCAAATTCTATTTGCCATGCGGGGCAGGAAAAAAATTGTTGTCATTCCCCAAGATTCACCAGACTTCAAGCAAGACATTGTAACTGATGGTTTATGTAGTTCTTAGTTTGAATTGAAGGATAATTCTTCCCATGTCATTATTATTTCTTTAATTTTATTTTGTGTTTTTTAATTTTTAAATTGTAATTTCTCATAATTTCTATTTATTATACTTATTTATTTAATTTGTTATAAAATTATGTTTTAGAAAATAAGCCTTCCCCCATCCATTATACATCACCCCCAAGTAAAAGCAGGCCTTCATATCAAGATCCTCCAAACACCTTCATCAAGAAGATATTCAAGATATAAATTTTGTGTTCAATTTTAGGTTACCTTTTTCACCCTAATTTTGTCAAAATATTATATGTGCTTAATGTACTATGTTTTTTTTTCAATTACATTAAGCATTGATGGTCTTTTTCCTGATTTGTTTGGACCACCTTAGCCAATTTTTTTTGTTAATATAAGGTACTTTATTCGTAAACTTTTGTCATCTAGTTTAACTTATAGCGTAGTATTTTGCTGCTTTTTCTTTTTTCCTTTTTCTTGATAGAATAGTACCTCTCAAACTTGTGGGAAAATTTTCTAAAATGGTGGTGAGAACTGCAATGCTTTATGACACATATATTAATCATTAAAAGAGAAATATAAAATTAAGTGAAGTGTTGTAGAGATGAGGATGCTCAAGTGGATGAGTTGCTTTTCATTTAGAGACAGAATGTGAAATGATTATATATGTGAAGAAGTTGGAGTAGCTCCAGTGGTAAATACTATTAGAACGAGTTGTCTTAGTTGGTTTTGTCGCATAAAGCGTCGGCCTTCTAATGACTCTTTTAGGAGAGTAGATGTATTAGATCCAATATATGTTAAGAAATGTAGAGGTAGACTGAAAAGACTTGGTTTAAAAGTATTAGAAAGGACATTTTTTTTATTAGATTTAAATGAGAATTTGACTCTTAATAGAATATAATGATGAAAAATTATTCATATAGTCGTCCCCATGTAGTGGGATAAAGGTTTTATTATTCTTATTTCCTTTTACCCTCATCTTTGTTGTTACTTCTTGAATTTGTAGATGTTATATAATAGCTAAAATAATAAGTGAATGAGATGCAAACTCAAAACCAAGAGATTGGAAGAGATTATTCTCCTTCTTGGATCTATTTTTTTCCATATATGTATCTAGGGAGGTTATATTTAGATTTTTTGATATCCACAATTCCTTTTTGGATCCCATCTTTTAATTGTTGATTAGATATGATATCATAAACCTTTATGAAGCCCCTCTTTGTGTCTTATATAGTTTTTGTTGTGTTCATTCCTATTGTGTTGTTGAATTGTTGCATTCTCTATTTATCATCATCATAATTACTACTCTTATCTTAACTCTTTATGGTTGATTTTATGAAACTTTATCCATTCATTCTTATTGTGTGCTGCTTGATTCGCTAAATCTATTTTATATAAATGTTTTTTGCACAACCTATATCCATTTTTTTTCCTTCATTAAGTCATCAATCAATTGCATTTATCCTTCTTAATTTGACATCTTTCACCCCTCATTATGCATGCTTAAACCACCCGATTCAATTTCTTATACTTTTTCTTGAGTATATTTTATTCCTGTAGTCCCAGGTATAATGATTTTTAATCTATCGTCACTAGTATTTCCTCATGTGCATCTTATCTTTTCCATTTCTTCTTCCTTCAATTTGGATATTAATGAATTCTAACTTGAATTTTTACAACATAGCCGTATAATCCTGGTCATATAAAAATTTTAAGTTTGCGGTTGATTCTCTTTCACATAGGGGCTATTTGGTTTGAAGTAAAGTTGGCGTAAAGTAATTCTTTTACATGGGTTTTGAAAATATTGGTGTTTGTTAGATGAAAAAGAATGCAGTGTAAAATATTTTAGTTTATTTTTGAGATAAAGTAAAGTTGCTCAGTTTTAAGTGAAAATCATTTTCACCACAAACAAGTTCTATATCACCACCCGTTCCTGCCACTTGTTTTAGCTCGTTGCCGCCCGCCACTATCACTGGTCCCCACAGCAGTTGACGTCGGTTACCACCCACCCACCGGCCATCGCCGCTGCCACCCACCCACTGGCCATCGCCGCTGCCACCCATTGATCGCCTGCCACCACTTGTTGTCGTCGGCTACCGCCGTTGCCACCCACTATGGCCCCTCATCACTGCCCATTGTTGTTCGCTGCCACCACTCATCACCACCTATATGCCGTCGGAACCACCTATCATTGCCACCGTCGGAACCACCTATCATTGCCAGCTGCCTCCTGCCAAGGTCGGGCACCACCGCCACCCCCAGCTGGCCGCAAACCATCATCGCTGCCATCGACGTCCATTGTCGAGACCACCGCCATTGTCACCCATAGCTACCAACATCTTTGGACTTTACATTACATTCATTTTACATCAAACCAAATAAAAAAAAATCATTCACCTTCATTTATTTTACTCTTATCTAAACAACACCAAAATATTCCTTTTACACATCATTCCTTTTACACGCTTTTTACACCGCATTTCTTTTACATTGCATTCTTTTTTTAGCCAACCAAACAACCCCATAGACTACTAAGACACTTCTTTATTTTAACCACACAACGTCACAACCTTAATTCTAGATGTTATATCCTCATAAGAAAATGCTCCTTTTTGTCTAGGAAAGCAAAACTTTTACTTGCAAAGACGTGACATGATTTATCATAAAGTTTTTGTCTATACCTCCCTACTCTTTTGTATAATAGATCCAAAATACATAAAATTATCACACACCTAGGTAGGGGTGTCAATATTTGACACGACACAAAAACCCGACCCGGAAAATTCGGGTTTGACCCGATACGATTTCAAAATGGGTCGGGTTCGGGTTCACGGATTCGACCCGTTTGAAAAACGGGCCGGGTTCGGGTTGACCCGATGGGTTGTCGGGTGAACTCGCCAACCCGTTTAACATGTGTTGCTTGAATTTGCCCAAGCTGCCCGTGCTCCTGCCCAAGCTGCCCTTGCCCTGCCAGCGCGACAAAGCCAGAAGTGCGCCGCCCGCTCGCCGAGGTCGCCCGCACGCTCGCCTGCCTGCGCGCTCTCTCGCCGAGACAGCTGCCGCTTAAGTGTGCACCGCGTCCCGCGTACGCACCACGTCCAGCCCGCGTGCACCCGAGTCCAGCCTGCGCGCATCTGCGTCCAGCCCGCGCGCACTCGCGTCCGCTTCCTGTGTCGGGTCGGGTCAACTCGGCAACCCGCCAGGTCGGGTCCGGGTTCAGATTTTCGACCCGTTTACCTACCCGGATGGGGTTTGTGTCGACCCGTGACCCGGTTTTGACACCCCTACACCTAGGTGTCACTTAGGTCTTCTAATTATATTAATTGATAATTATTAATTTTAAACCCACTAAAATAACTCATCATATGTTGATACTAATATTTGCTCCATTATTATAACTTTTCATTGATATAGCAAAGGTCTCATCAATTGAACTAGCATTTATAAATTGCATACACCAAATACCTCATTTTTTTAATATTATTTTTAAGCATCTACGTAACCAATAGAAAATATAAGAACATAATGTTGACTTTTAGCATAATCTTAATATGATCAAGAATTCTTTGGTCACTCCACTTCTTATAGTAATCAATATTTTATCATATATGTCTTTAATAAATTAATCTTACCTTTGACAAACACCTTATTTTTCTTTACTAATAAAATGCATGTGCCCTAAGTGCATGTATTTAATTATTTTATATAAAAAATTAAAAAATATTTTAATTTAAATGTTATATTATATTATGCCTTCAAGAATTACTATAATTATAATTGACTTAATTATGAGTGATATTTTAATTATTTGAGAATAAAAATATGAGTATGAAGAGAAATGATTTTTTGGATATTATTCAATTATACTGAATCATTTTGACAACTTAGTACTAAGAGTAATAGTTGAATCGTTGAGCGCAAAGAAATTGGTTATAAATAGAAACAATTGAGTTTATTGGAAAAAAATTTCGATGAAAATTAAAATATTTCTCTTTCATGGTCTTAATCTATCGATATATACTTATCCAAATATTACATCCCCCGTCTGCATTGTTAACACTCTTATCTACAGTTCATTTCTGGGCTCCAACTTTTAAATGGGGTATCAGCATTGCAAATATTGCAGATTTCTCCAAGCCACCTGAGAAGATCTCGTATCCTCAGCAAATTGGTATGGGCATCTCATTCTTAACGTTTGAATTCTGCTATCGGATATATGCTGACGCATCTTTGTTACATTTTATGAAGCCGTTACTTGCACTGGACTTATCTGGTCACGTTACAGCCTTGTGATTACACCGGTAAGCCTTTCTGATGGTTATCGATATTTAATTGCAAGTGAAAGACTTGTGAATTGCAGTCTGCAAAGTTTAGTTTGTTAGTTGATGATTTGATTTTACGAAAATTGGTACTTTTCTCTAGTTTTTATAATGTTTTTTTGTAATGACGTTATGACAAATGCATCAAGATAGTTTTAGAGAACTTTTTGATCCACTGAGATACCATTTTTATGCTCTTCAAGCAGAATTCCCCTCTTAATGACATATGGTTAACCTCCTCTTTATCAACCAGACTTACAGCTGCAGAAAAACAATACCAGTATTACTGTCTACAAAATGTCTCTTTTCATTAAGTATTGGACGCGAAGGACAAAATTCTTCATTTTCTTCTTGTCTGCAAATTCCCATCCCATAAGTATATTACATAAAAGTGAAAACATACCTCCCAAACAATACCAGGATATGCTTTCTTAATAAGGAAGCAAACTGGGATCTGAAGTCCATTGATTCTTATTCATAAATTTTTAAGTTTTTTTTTTAATACAGTAAAATGCATGCTCAATTTGTGTGCAGAAAAAGTTTATTAAATTTACTCGGAAATTGATTTTAAAACTTTTTTGCTTTTGGGCTATTAAAAAATAACAGTCGCAAAGGCCTCTTCTGAAGCATCTTTTTAGCACTATTATATTATACTCTTCGTCTCTTCCTACTCGATTTTGTATCTTACCTACAAATTTTGTAGTAAATATTTAAATGAATTTAAAATTTAAACACATTTTCTATGCGTAAATGACTATTATTTTAGCAAACGATGTCAACCATGTTCTTGTAGTAATCACCAACTTCACATCATTTATACAGAACAGTCAAAGAGGTCTTTTAATTAACACATAAGTTACATAACTTGTAACAGTGGATGAATTTTAAGATAGATATGATTTATCTAATTTGATTATTTTGAACATTTTATTCAATCTAGATGTAGCAATGGTGATGCGATGTTCTTGGGCAGTGAAAATTGGATGGTTTTGGCTGTGGCAGCTTGGATTTATTATTTCTGGCTTAGACTTCCCATTAATTTGAATTTACTTGAGATGGACAATATTGCAATAATGTGGATTTGGTTAGAGCTATTTTGAGTATTTGCACGTTGGGGTTGTGCATGACCAAAGGACCTTCGATGAGATTTTATGTTCCGTGGAGTTGTGTGAATTATTTGATGGGGCCATGATTTTATCGCTTATGTGAGCTAATTTGTGGTTTCTCCTTTATCGGTCCAATTTTGATAGATGTTTGTGATTAAATTACAATTGACAACTTATTCTCATTGTTTTTGTTTTTAATTTGAACTTGGATTAAGCTGATCCTTTGGACCTTTCCTAATAGTCTAAATTATGAGGAGTCTGCAAATAATTGTTATGAGACATGTAATTTATAATTTTTGGCTTGAGTAAAATTTCTTTTTTCAGTTCCATTCTTGTGAGCGGATATGTGATTTCTTTGAGTGTGATATGAGTGCAACAACTTGATTCTGCATGAATTCTTCTCCTTGTATTGACGTCAGACCTAAGGATTAGTTTGATATATTCATTGGTTGTTCTATTTCATCTTTAATATTTTTTTATTAACTTGTTTAGTGCTTTTGGTTTTGGTAAATAATGACAAGAGTGGAAATCCAAATTGTAGAAATTAAATCATTTTGTATATGTTTTTAATTTTTTGTTGAATATTTTAATCATCCATTTTGATCTGGTTTTAAACTCTAACCCTGCATCTTTACATTTAAAGAAAGAAGGCCGTTTGAATTAATTACTGACTTTTGATATGTAAATCCTTAATTTATTATTATTATTATTTTTGCATGAAAGCATACATTATTTCATCCGAGTTGCATTACGTATTTCTAACCTTAGTTGATGTGAAACGGAAATGCCATTTACTTGCCTAGGTGGCAAGATTAATTAAATCCCAAATCAATTTGGGGAGAGAATGGAAATCTGAAATTAAATTTCAGATTAAGTGATTTGGGAGGGAAAATTAAGTGAAATTCAATTTTGAATTCCCAAATTAAAGAGGAGGATTATTGCTCATTCAATTGGGAGAAAGTTGGGCTATTTTGTGGAGTCATTAATGTGATTAGGAGAGGGAGGGGAGGCCATTAAGGGGCCGGCCACATGAGGAGGAGAGAGGGGATGAGTTTTGAGAGAGTGGGGACCACCAATTTAATTTCAGATTTTACAAAATCTGAAATTAAAATTTCAGATTTTGTAAAATCTGAAATTAAAATTTCAGATTTTGTAAAATCTGAAATTTCAGAATTCGAAATGTCCCAATTTCAATTTAATTTTGATTGCTTGAATTAAGGAGGCAAATTTAGGGAAACATTTAATGGCCAATTGAAACTCCCTAAATTTTCATAATTGAAATTCAAAAGAAGAGGGGGCGAAGAAGGAGAAGCGTCAGCAAGGTGGGACGGGGACCGCGGCTGGAACTGGCCGGCGGCTGCTGGTGGAGGATTTGGGCCGGCGGGAGGAAGCCTTGCAAGGCCGGCGGGTATTGGACCTTGTAAGCCGGTGGTCTGGGATTGGTTCCCAAAGGGTCGGCGGCAAAGCAGAGTAGGGGGAGGGAAGAGGAGAAAATCTGAGATATTTCGTTGCTTTGATTCCACCACTTTATTTTTAATCCTTCAAAGAACTCGATCTCCACAACCGAATAGAATCGAAGAGGATACTAAAGGTAACGAAATACAAGAAAAAGACTCCACAAAAGAGATTCTAGTTTATTCCTATGAAGCTCACTAAGTCAGATCGAAGGAGAGTGAACTCACTAAGAGATACCATGAACATAAATTTATCAAGTTAATCAAATAATTCATTCATCTCATAACAAGAGAAGGGGCCTTTATAGTATAGGCCGTCAAAAGAAATTTAAAACGACCACATTGCCCCTGGGACTTACATAAGACAAGAGGGGTAAAAGGGAATTGCAATAAATTAAATAAAAAATACACTATTAAACTGAATGAAATAAAGTTGATCTCGGAGCCGTAGCGATCTTCAACTCCTACCTCGAGATAAGCATGGCGGTTTGGAATGTCCGCATCTATTCTCTCCGGGTGAAAGACTCGACTGTCCGTCGAGTTCGCGTCCCGGTCCGAGCAACACTGCCTCTGATTACCAAACTAAATGTGGAAACCGAAAATCGGATTTGCTAGGAAGAGGACCACCTCTCCAAAATTGAAGGAAATTCGGACTTTCTTTGCCCAATAACCTGGAAAAGAATCTCGATTTTTTCTCTTGGTAGGAAGAGAGGTGCAAGCCTCCGCACTCTCTCCTAAATTCTGAAAACCAACCTCAGATTTCCACCAAAAATCTTGAGAGAAAATTCTCAGGATATTTAGTGGTTGGAAAAAAAAAAGAAAAAGCTAGAGAGCAAAATCCTTGAAGGTTTTGGGCAAATTTCTGCCTGCACAGTGAAGAGAAAAAATCAGGAGAAAATTCCCCATCCACTTCTTACGGCTTGAGAAGGGAAGTGGGAAGAGCGGTTGGCTTTGAAGAGATTAACTGATGGGATTTGTTTTCCAAACCAAGGGTTTCCCTTTTGGAATAAATCAAGGCAAAAACACAATTGACCTAGGGTGAAGTTACGGATTTTGGAGAGGTGAATAGGAATTAAATTAGAGATAATGGGTGGATGTTGGATTTCGGCAACCAAGAGATTAAAGGGATTTTGAAATATATTTCTTAAAGCAAGGAAGGGAAAAATTAAGGAAAGAAAGTCAAGAGTGGGGCATAGCGGGGATTCGGCCCAAGCAAGAATAAGGCAGCCATCTTTGAATTGGAAAATATTATGGCTCCCATTGATTTGGAATTTGAGGGAATTTTCAAAAATCTGAAGTTGGGTCACACTGTTAAGTATTTGATGAGAAATTCTAGACGGAACGTTAATTGAAATTTCTCAAATTCAAACGGATTGATTTACAAATCAGAAATCAAAGAAATTTAATGCCTATGAATGGGGGAGTTAAAGGAGGGGGCCCAAAGAGGGGGCCGGCGGGGTTCTAGAGAGAAGAGGGAGAAGAAGATTAAATTCAATCCTGAAATTAATTTTCAGGATTGAGTATGAAAATGGGGGGGATTAATTTCTGAAAATTGGATGTTAAGTGGACAAATTAGAAGGTCCATTAATGCCTTATATGGGGAGATTGATGGAGGAACACCAATTAGGAAAGATTTCAAAATTTGGAAATTTTGAAATCCAAAATTGTCATGGATTTTCCCTCTCGATTTTGCCAACCCAAATTAGGAAAGGGGGAGGGTAAAGGGGAAGGGGGAACATGACCCGGGTGGATGGGGAAGGTGGCCGGCGGGTGAGGGAAGTGGCCGGCGGCAGGTGACAACGAATCGAACACGAGAAATAAAGAACGAAAATTAGTAGAACAAGAAGACCTAGAACTCACAAAGAGATCTAGCTCTTCCCAAAACTCACTAAGAGATTTGGGAGAGGGATGCACTCACAAAGAGAACACAAAGTAGGGAACCAATTTAGTTTAATGGGGCACCTTAAAAGATGCTTTGTAAATTATTTATCTTGATTGCGTTCCATCTCTAATCAAACTAGTTTATGCTAGTGGTGTCATAATGAGAACTTGCATATAAATATGGAGGAGGATAATGAAATTTATGGATTTTATGGTGTTAATGAGTTTGATAAAGTGACTAGTGATTTTGAGTATGCATTAGTTAATAATTCTTTGAATGTCATGCATTACATTATAGCTACTCTTAAGGTTGAATTCGATTGACATAGAACTATAATTTCTCTAACTTATTTCAAACACAATGAGCTGTAGGCTTATAATAACCGTTGGAATTACATTAATTTCGTGTCCAAGTCTTCCTCAAATCTTATAAATTTGAAGTTTGAACCACATCTATGATTATATGAGGTAACTAATAAAAAAATTTATTTTTGTGTTAAAAATGTCTAGTTTTAGTTCAATTGTTTAAATATACTAATAGAATCTGGTGTGATGTGCCGCCATGAATATTGCTATTGTGAGATTTGGTAGATCTTAGCTATATGATTTATAGGCTACTCATTTTGAAAGGTTGAATACATATGTTTACATGACTAATGTTCTATTAAAGATTGTAGACACTACATGAAGTGGAGCCACATCCATTGAGTATTCTTTTTTTAAGAATATGTTATTCAATTTATATTCCTATTAAATTATACAATAGTCAATGATGTAGATTAAACAATGTACATGATTTAAAAATCATTTATAAGAAATTATCTTCATCCACGGTCATTCTACAACTTTGTATTTCTAAAAGAGAACCCGAGAAAGTGCAAATATATTACTTTTTACACTATAATGTTTCACTTTTCAAAATGTTTCATATGAGTGCTAAGTAGCTATTGTTGTTAATACGTAATTCACTTGAGTGTAAAATGCAAAATATTTTTTAAGTAAAAGAATTGGCTCAGGATATCTAAACAAATGTTTGTTATAATGGGTTTCATAGCTGTTGGATTTGTTTTGAAACGAGTTCAATCTAAAATTTGATTGATTTCTTTTGTACTGCACTAAGCAAATCTAATGACTTTGAGGCCCATCTTGAGTAAAAATTAATTACGATATATCGAGCTAATTTTTTTTTTCATTTCTGTAGGATTAATCTTTAAAATATTCTATTGTATTTCATTTGAATTATCAAATATATGATTAAACCACGAATCACTTGGCTAAGAGGTAGCCTTTGACCTTAATTGTAGTTCTAAGGCTTGCAACCAAAAAGAAAGATATTCAATTAAATTGTGTGTAACTTTTCAATTTCGTCAATTTGACACACCTTTATTACTGGTGCTCGCCATCTACTTTCAAAAGCATATTTTATCCTTGTAGGATGTTGATCATCATTAATTTCATGCTTCTAAAAAGGACCTTTTTAATCTATTTAAACTAACATAATTAAATGGAATTGTGATATAATTATAATTTATTGAAACACATGTAATAGTTGCTCGATTTGTAGTATGAATTATATTTTCTTTATTCAAATTAAAGTGTGGGAGTAAGCAAAATAGCATGCTAGTATTTTTTTTTGAGAAAATTATTGAAAAGATAAAACTAAGTAATTAACTAATAGATTGAAGAATAATAAATTTAATAAAAAGCAACAACAATAAACTGAGTTCCTATTGCACCACCTCCATCTGCTTGCAATAAGATCGCAAATTGGTGTAAAATTCAGTCAGTGATGATTGCACTAGTGACCCATTTAATCTATTGTTAAAAATGAAATCATAAAATGAAATTTGATATTTTAACTGTTGTATCAGCCAAATATTGAAAAATCAATTATTGTAAAGAGTTTAAATTTTGATCATAGGTTAACAGCAGATAAATGGAAATGTTCTATTACTGTAGTTACTCTAGTTCATATTGGACTTGATAGACAGATGTAGAAACCTATGAACTTTTTTCCTGTTTGAGGCAATTGAAGTTTATTGACGAATTTTATTTTTAATTTTCTTAACATTTGCATCGATATCATGGACCTAAATATTATTTTTGATAGAGCATACTTATTATTAATTGAAGAAAAGAATTCGAATTATGAAATATAAAATCCTATTTTTGAATCATATTAGATGGAGAACTCTCAAAGGAACTTCTTAAAGCTTGGACAATACGGTAGTAAGTTAATAATGCGCCAAATTAGCTGAATCCAAAAAAACTTACGAAGTCAAAAAGCTTTTTTATTAAACATTTAGAAAAGAAATCATATAAGCTTGAAATTGCTTGAAATTATCATTATAAGTCATCCTAATTAGACTTTGCAGCATAAAACTTCAAAATAAAAATAGCCAAGGAACCTCAATTATGCCATATGAATGCTTTGACTTTACCTCCACATTTTGCATTTTGCGATCACTATCATTTTGTCAATCATCTGAAGGGCTGAGAGGTGGTGAACAATCCAAACTTCTCTAGATGTAAATCTCCTTATCAAAAAGCTTGGAAGATGAAAGGACAACTTGTTACTTGACATGAATGAGCTTGTTTGCATGGTCTCACGACTCCACCTTGTTGGGGACTTGGCTTCCTAGGGTTACTCGTATCTATCAACCATTCAAAAGGTCAGAGAAATGAACAATGGAGATCTGAGGATGGAAATTTGGTGAATAAAGCAAGCCTCGAGGTTGTGGGCTCACCTGCACCACCTTTTTAACATGTTTGTTATTATTGTCACAAAACTCAGAATTGTGGGATAGCTTGTTGGTCGTCTACATTGCCTCTTGAGAGACCTTAAATCGTGGTTGCATTAAAGGCCAAAGAAATGACCTCTATCAATGCATGAAACTCTATGGTGAGTTCATTGTAAATGGGTGAAGCGGATGTGGGATGTGGATATGAGGAGGATGTGCTTTCTTTGATTGGTATTGGGTATTTACAAAATGAGTTCTTTGGTCTACCAATAGTCATTCATGAGATTTGAGTTTTTTCTATTTATTTTCAAATTAGACTAAATTTCGAGAGGCAAGGATTTTGAATTCCTAACCAAGTGTTTTATTTGGCAAATTTAAATGATGTTATCTTTAATTTTCTTTTCAAGTAATAAATAGTAGATATTTATTTGCTTGAAAGTGACCACGATAAAATAGGCCATTTTATTTCATATAGTATTGAGTTCTTTCGAGTGTTATGGGTAAAAAGTTGAAGTTATCAATAATATAGAGTTCTTGTTTGTCTTTGCGTTGGGAATTTTATCACCCGATTTCACTTGTGCTTGTTCTATTTTTTCGGCATTGTTGCATGCACCATAATTGCTCAAATGCACTGATGACTTAAGAGTGTGGTTGATGCTGTGACATTTCTTAATTACACTGAGAGCACTGGCCTTGACCCCGTTTTAAATAAAATTTCAAAATAGACTATTGAATATTTGTGTATGGTCATTTTACTCTTAAGGTATCAAAATTTTCCAATTTAGTCAATTATGATCCAGAATGATCCCTCATGTAAAATTATGATACAAAATTGATACACTATAAAAAATGATCCCAATTTAGTCTCTCGTTTTTACAAAATTAATCCTACTTTAGTGCTCAAGGGCTATTTTGGATCAATTTTGTATAATAGAGGGAATATTTTGAAGAAATATGATACTTCGGGTTAAAATAACCAATTATGAATAGTAGGCGGTTCATTTTTGCTATTTAATCCTGAAATTTGAGTACTTGTAAAAGGTTTTGAAGTCTAATTTTGCTGCTGTGCTGATTGGTTCTCTTTGTTTATCTTGGGCTCTTTTGCAGAAAAACTGGAACCTTTTTAGTGTAAATGTTGCAATGGCTGGTACAGGGCTCTATCAGCTTTCTCGCAAAATCCAGTAAGATGGTGCTTTGTTTAATTTAATTCGTTTGCAACTTAATTGTTTTTGTGAGGGCTTGCTTCAATACTGGAGTAAATGGTGGCATTTGACTTAACTTAGATGTTAAATGCTAATTGCAATAAGGCAACCTCACATTTTGTGTGGTATCTCTTGCATGTTTAAATGCTTTAACGTTGTTGATGTCGGAAGTAAAATTCTATAGGTCATTAACTTGTGCTCGTGTTGAACCACTTCAAAACATTTTTAACATTTTAGATGAATGTTCAATAATAATAGTTCTGCTTTGCCATATGCAGATTATTCAAAATTGCCTTCAATAGGAAAAAATTTTGGAATAAAAAATTTCCATCGTGAATTACTCTATTTTTTTTTTTTACTTTAAATTTTCATTTGTGAAATTAAAATTTTGGAATGACTTAGAACAATTAATACAAAAGATATCTTTTGAAGAAAATATTTTTATTGGAGGAGATTTAAATGAACATGTTGGTAGAGAGGTAGATTTTAAAAACATTCATTGGTGGCTATGGGTTTAGAGTGACTAATAAAGGTGATAATGCCATACTAGATTTTGTTGTAGCTTATGATTTTGTAATTGCTAATAACTTATTTAAAAAAAGAGATGAGCATCTCTTCACTTATAAGAATGTATATAGTAAAACTCAAATTAATTATTTTCTTATAAGAAAAATAGATCTTTTAGATTACAAAGATTGTAAAGTTATTCCTAGTGAAATTTATGTACCCAACATCATTTAGTAGTTTTGAACTTTAAGATGAAGGGGCAGAATATATTAAATTTTTTTTTCTAGGATTAGATGTTGCATTTAAAAGATATTAACAAATATATTTTTTAGAGTAAGATTCTAGATCTTAAGATTTTGTCTGTGCATGAGGAAACTAATAGTATGTGAAAAAAAAAGTAGCTAGTGATATTAATAATGTTGTAAAGGATATGCTTGGAGTATCAAAGGGAAAAGTTTTTAATATTAAAAATAGTTGGTGATGAAATCAAAATGTACAAAAAAAGATAAAAAATAAAAATCTTTGTTATAAAAATTAATTTAGATTTAAAACTTCTGATAATTGAAAAAGATATAGAGTCACATAAGAAGTCTAAAAAAGTAATATGTGATGAAAAAATTTTAGTTTTTAATGATTTATATAATTTATTAGATACTCAAAAGGGCGATATATATATATATATATATATATATATATATATATA